GTTTATTGTTTACTGCAGTAAGGGAAGAAACCACCTCACAAAGCATTGGCAATGTAGAGAAGTCATTCTTGATAAAAGATGTATATCAGAATCAATTGGGAATATTTTAGACAAAATGATACTATTCTCTCTACCTAGTAATCTTATCCTAAACCTATAGAATTAGAATCTCTGGAGATGAAACCTGGAAACTTGTATTATGTATAATCTAATTATGTGCTATTGGCCAAAGTGTTCATGTGTTTCTAAAGGAGGAATGAGGGGACAGGAGGATTTAGAGTTGGACAGGGATATATTTTTGTGAAAGAATAAGATAAAGGAGGCGTCAGCATTCTCTCCTGAAGTATCTTAGTGCTACTTCTCTAGCTAGTATACATGAGACCAGACTGGCAATTCCTGAGCTAGGCAGAGACTAACTTAGAAATCTATAACTAATTTAGGATAAAGTCAGACCTGCTCTTCTCAAACATGAGTAGCAAAGTTACTGTTTCTAGCATTTGGAATACATGTGTAGAGTAGAGCCTGCTCTTCCAACTGGTCTGATTCAGTCTCCTAAATTTGCTTTACAGACAGCAGTGGCCCTTCTAGCACTGTGTCCAGTGCTGGTCCTTCTTCCCCCACTGCAATGGATGGTAATGCCCATTTTGGCTTCGGTGATCAATCTTCCCTAAGTTCACATGTGAATGAAGACTGTCAAGGCCTTGGGCAGCCCCAGGAGACTACTGGGAATGAAACACAAGAGCCTGTAGATGGGGAGAAAGAAGCTTTTCAACCAAATCAGTCCTCCCAAGAACTATCTGTGGAGACCAGCCAGCCATGCCAGAAGGTCCCTGAAGAGGTCAACCAGCCATGCCAAGAGGTCCCTGATATTAGTCACTTCTGTCGGGATATTTCTCATGTCAGCCAGCCATGCCAGAAGATGAACCATGAAAATGTTAACCAGACATGTCAAGAGGTCCCTGAGATCAAACTTCCATGCCAGAAGGCCAGCCAAGTCTCTGAGAAAGTCTGTCAGTTTTGCCAAGAGAACTCTGAGGATGTCAGCCAGCCATGCCATGGGGGGCCTATGGAGGTTGGTAGGCTGATCCATGGATCCCCTGTGGAGGTTGGTGAACAGGCCCAGGAAATTCTTGTAAAAGATTGTAGGCCAACCCCAGAGGGCCCTGAAGAGATCATCCAGCCATTCCAGGAGTTCTCTGTTGAGATTGGCAGGCTGGTCCATGAGTCTCCTGCAATCAGTCTGTTGTCACAGAACATCCCTGAGGTTGCTAAACCATCCCAAGAGTTCCCTAGGGAGGATGTACAGACTCAGGAGTTCCCTGAGGAGGTTAGTCAGCAGTCCAGGATTGTCCCTGAGGTTACTGATCAGCTTCCTGGAAAGGATGGTCCCCAAGCCCAGTATCCATCCAGCGATCCAAGCCCTCAGAGTCAGTCTCTAGCCCATGAACAGCACTCACCCCTTCCACCAGCAACATGTGATTAATCACTTTTTCATTAGTGGTGTCACTATATACCAGCCATTTGAGCCAGCATCCTTTTCTGTTGGTGAACTCACTTGCCAGCCTGCCTTGGCTCTCAGCAGAGGTGTCTGAGGAAGCAGTTCCTTCTCTTGGCATGCAGCACATCTGTGTCAGAGCTGGGTTCAGGGAGGAGCCAGTTTTATTTTCAAAGCAGCCATTGGCTCTTTTCCTTGTCATTAGACTTGAATAGCATTTCCTTGGGATGGGCTGGTTTATCATTAACCAACTTCTCAGATTGTTAAAGAAAATATCACTTAACTGCTGAAGACATGATCTTTTTCTGGGGAAATATCCACAGTTTCCCAAGGTACCCTTAGACCATATGTGCATTCAGAGGGACTCTTGTCTTTGCTTCTCAGGTGGGCCCTGGATGGTCATCTGAAATGTCTGGGAAAAAATGAGTCCCCTTCCCAAACAAACATCCATCATGACCACTAATCTCTAGACTGGGCTTAATGGGTTATTTCCATATCATCCCCAAGTGCCACTTCTGCGCTAGTCATATTTCTCTGAGCAGTAGCTCTAGGGAAAAATATGTATTAGATTTCTGTACCAATTTTGAAGTACTACTTAAAATTCTTGGCCAATCTGTAAAGTTGGATCTTCCTTTGTTGTTTAACTTAGGAAATGCTGTAGTAGAGAATCAGGTTCTATTTTAAGCAATCAGCAAAGATCAATGTTGTACAGACATGAGTAAAGATTTAATATATATATAGGTATATATATATATATATATATTTCTGTTGTAGTAGTGTCAGGGACAGACTGGCCAAAGACCAAACACTCCAGGGTCCCCAAGAGATGTATCCTTATATCATTGTGTTTTTAGGGCCAGGCATGATTATGAAGCTTTACCCAAAGATCTGGGGATGGAAACAGGAGTGGGTAGGAGAGGTAATTAGATTATTGCAGTGAGGGGCCGGAACATTATGAGTGCTCAATAAATACGAAGTAATGAAAATGGTAGAAGTGGTGATATCTTTGTGAATCTAAAAATGAATATGACTGTTTGCAATTGAATTCATTGAAACAGTATATAGTTGATCAGGAATAGGCTATAAAAATATAGATAATCATGCAACCCAGGAGGTCCCATGGCAGTCAGCCCATCATCTCAAATGTCTTTAATGAGTAGGGTGTTGGTGGGGGGAGGTTCCATCTTGAAAGTACCAGAGGGTACATGGCATCTCACCAGATTGCCTTAAGGTTCAAACCACCTTTGCAGTCCAGTGCATTAACTCACAGCACCACACCAGGACCCCTTGGGAGAGCCTAATTCTTGGGGAAGACTAGAATATCCCCCTCCCCGTGTATATATATCCACAAAATGACCACTGTTGACATACCCAGAAGTTGAAACAGTTTCACTTGAGGGGGAAAATACAATTTTTCCACTCCAGGGAACGCCTGACTACACAGGTGAGAGTTGTTTTCAATTTTTGCAGACTCTGGATCTCTTTAAAAAAGCAAAAACCAACCTGTTGTCATCAATTCTGAATTATAGCACCCGTTAGGACAGAGTGGGACTGCCCCATAGGTTTTCAAGGCTGTAATCTACTGAAGCAGACTGCTACCTCTTTCTCCGGTGGAGTGGCTGAGATTAGTAGCTCAGTGTGTAATCACTGAGCTATTGGGACTCCTTCTGGATCTCTGAGGGCCCCTCAACTCTGCCTCTTTTGTGTTTCACTATCCAGGTTATCAATCATGGTTATTTGTTCCTTAGCTCTTGACTCTGTGGAATGCAGAGCCCTCTCCCAGAAGGCCTCTCACCTCCCCCAAACTAAACTTACATTCCCATCCTTGGTTCCTATTCCCCATACTCAAGCACTCCCACTATTTTCAGAAATCGTGTTGACTCCCCTTTAAGTTTTCTTCCTTCACATATCCTACATTCTCTAGCACCCACTAGATTCTGGGACTGTATCCAGTTATCAAAGGCATCAATTTCCCCATAAAGAAATGACAATGCTGGGAGAAGCAGAGAGGTAGAAGCCGGGCCCAGCAACTAAGCAATGTATGAAGTCAGAAAAAGCCTAAGCAGCACTAGAGCATTTGCAGTGAACTTGGTTTATTGTTAAGTTGGAGGCAGCAGCTCCATTACAGCAGCTGGGAAATATAGCGGGAAAGTGTGTGGGGAGCAGAGCACAGCAGTACAGGGAGGTGGGAGTGGGGAAGAAAACAAGGTGGCCTCATTTTGATTTTCACACGTTTGGCAGAGAAGCCTAGGCCAGATGACTGTCAGCGTCTGAATTTCTCAGTCCGGTAGTAGTATAGCAGAGCTGCTTATTGGCTTGCTTGAGGTGAGGTCCTCCAAAGGGTGGTATTTTCAGTCTGTTTTTACTTCATTCTACAGGCATTAATCTTTAAGCTCAGCTTCCTCTTCCTCTTTTCTTTCCTCCCTCTCGTTTTCCCCAAGTCTGGCATGGCCTCCACCTCCCAGATCCTCTTAAAAAATTTCTAAGAGTTTGGGGGCTTGAGAGGCAGCCGATATTCCCATTTCAGCTGCAGAATGGCATAGTGGAATGTTGGGGGTCACATATTGCTGGGGTGTCAAATGTTGGGATGTCAGGCAGTGGCTTATTTTTAACCCATTACACACCAGGCCACAGCAGATGACCACATGCAGAGAAGCCAAGCAGGGATGAGAAGGGATCAGGGTAATTGGAATGGGGTGGATGACAACTTCAAAGGATCAGGGAGTTTGGAGTCATTCTCGGATTGGGGCTGGGCTCTCCTTGCCCCTTTGTGCTGCCCAGGAGGCCTGGTCTGGGCACACTCCTGGGGACATGAATGGTAGGAAACGGGCTGTGAGAGACGTTAAACTCCATTCTCCTCCCACCAGCTTGTTGGTCAAAAAAGAGCTTCAAGTTTTGAATTGAGACATGGAGATATGGAGGGAAGCAGTGGGACAGTGTAGCAGCGGTATCCCTCCAGCCCCTGCTGGAACCAAGACCCTGGTAGGGAAGGGGATGGGAGATGGAGGAAGGGTGCAGCACTGGGCACCTCATTGACAGTATCCTGCCCCCAGGTCCCATAAATTACTACTGGAAATCTTCCTAGGATGCTAAATAAATAGATTGAGATAAAAAGGTCCCTGGGGCTAGGGATATGATCTCCCTCCTTAAGGGAGGAGGTTACTTTCTGAGACCCATCCTCACTCCTCACCCAATTCCAGCATTTGGCAGTGCCAGAACCAAGTGTCCCTTCTGGGTTCTCAGGCATCAGATGAATGTCTATCCTCATTTTGTGCCCTCCTATGCTAGTCCTGTTACCTTTGGTTTTGAAACCCCTCTCAGGCATGGGTGAGGGGGATACACAACTCCTCCCATTTAGCCCAGCCCAAGTCCCCACAACAAGGCATCTATGCACTCTCCACCCACAGCTCTCATCTCCCTCAACCCCAAAGGACTCAGCAGCGGTAGCCATTCTCTAAGGAAGCTGGGGGGAGGGGTGGTCTTTAGGGAAGGGAGTGTGGTTCTTTCAGAACTCAATCTTGCAGGCGGGGAAGGACTCATCCTGCATGACCACAGTACTACTGCTAGCCAGGACCAGGACGTTCAGTTGTTGTTGCTGCTCATGAGTCTGCTGGTACCACTCACGAGTCACCTCCGTGTCATGAGTAGGGATCAGAGTCACCTAGGAGGGAGACAAGACATGTCTGAAGAGAGTGAAGTGAAAATGGGAAGGGAAGGGAAGGGGATGGGGCACCTAAAGGTCATCCTAGACATTGCTGCCTTTAGAAAGTATCCAGTCCCTTTATGAACAAACTTTGACCTGATTACCTCTTTGGGGTCCTTTGCTACTCACCTGAAGATTCTCCCCCCACTGGGCCTTGCCATCCAGCAGAGCATCCAGTACAGCCCGGCTTGGCTCGCCATTGGCAGGGTCATTCCCACTGACCACATAGTAGGATGCACGAACTCGACGGAAGAAGTCAAGGTCAGCAGTCTTGCCACTGCAATGATTCGGGATGTAGGCCAGATCCACGTACACAGGGGCACCAGAGCCACCCTTGGGCCCCAAGGCTGCTGTAGAGACAGGGCAGCACTCATTATAGAAAGAAGGGAGAACACGTCTGGTAACCTTCCTCCTCCCTCCCACTCCTGGAGCCTTTGACCTGCCACACCCAGTCCAACTCCAGCCCACCCTCTCCTCCACTCTTCATAATGTACTTACTTGGTCCTGCCTTGAGTCCATTGACTAGGCCTTTGGACATGGGACTGTGTCCATCCTTTTCCTCTCCTGGGACAACCTGGCTTGGAGTGCTCCGTGGTCGGAGTGGGGTCCGGGATGCTCGATCTGCAGGCCCTTTACCCGGGGTGGGTGAGCGTTTCCCTCGAAGATCTAGACGGCGTGCAGGGGATGCTGGCTTGGCCCTTCCTGGGGCCCTGCGCCCTACTCGCCCCTGAGCCTTCTCCTTGTCTCGTAGCCTCTCCACCCTCCCAGACTCTGAGCTGAGCCCCTCAGGGTCGGCCATGCACACGTCAGGGCGGGGAGGGGATGGGCGGGGGTCTGGCTGGGGTATAGGTGGTGGGTCGTGACCAGGCCGGGGATGGTGAGTTCCACTGACCCCCCCAGCTTTGTCCACAGGCAGGAAGTCCCCATCTTCATCTGAGTCAAGGGCTGCCTCAGCTGTGATGGATGGGCACTCTTCAGTTTCTGGTGGAACGTCAGAATCTGATTGTGAGGAGCCTGAGTCACTGACTGATGTTGGGGGTGTCTCATCAGCCACAGGGCATGGGCCCCCTGTTGTCCCTGGGCCCCCCGCCCGACGTCTCCCTCCTCTCCCTACCAGCCGAGCTTCCTCAGTTGAGAGGTCACTGTCATCTGTGGATCGGGGCAGAGGTGGGCTCAGGAAGGATGGCGAGAGCTCCCCACAGTGGGGCTGAGGCTCCGCAGCACATCCCTGGGGCCCGGCCTCAGCTTCAGGGGAGATGCTGCTGAGTCGGCCTTCAGGGCCCCCTCCAGAACACAGTGGCTGCTCAGGGGAGAGCAGTGTGTTAGGCCGGGTGCCCCTCTCAGCTCCTTCAGGCCAGGCCCCACGTTCCCAGGCAGTATAGGCCTCAGCCTCTTCCTTTGCAATGTTGGCCAGGCAAGGTCCTGGAGGTTTGGAGCTGGTTTCGGTTGGCCCATTGGTTGCACAATCCCCAGAGGGACCCTGGAAGGGGCTTGGCTTCTTGGTGGCTGTCCCTGAGCACTCCAAGTGGCAGGGCAGGGTGCCATCATCCATGTCTCCAAGCAGGTGTGGAGCTGGAGCCAAGTCCAGTGAAGCTGAGGGTGCCGGGCTCAGAGGAGTGAGGTCCCAGAGACTGTGGGCAGCTGGTTCTATTCCTGGAACTAGCTCTTCAGAACCCTGTTCTGCACCTTGCAGACCTAGAGGGAAACGCTCAGCTACACTTGAAATCACAGGTGTGGTGGCCTCAGAGGAGGAGCCTTCAGACAGCGCTGGTGAGGCAGGTCGTGGCAGATTGGAGAGGAGAGGGGCCCCAGGAGAGCTGGGAGATGGGAGCTGGGGTAGTGAGGAGTCCAGGCTGGGGGCCTTAGTTACCTCTAGGTACTCATCATGCCGGGCTCTAGTGGGGGGCCCTGAAGCCAGAGCCAGAGCTCGGTCCCCAGAAAAAGCAAGGGACCCACAGGGTGCTGAGCGGGGTTCAGCTGGAGAGGGTAGCTGTGGGGGAGCTGGCTGTAATGAGGAGAAGCCAAAGGCTGAGGCAGGGAAGTCCAGACTGGGCCGGGCAGGACCTGGGGGTGAGTCTGAAGAATGACTGGTACGTGCCTCAGTTTCAGACCACAATGTTGAGGGTCCTGCAGGGATGGGGCGAGGGGGACTTAGGGACTGGGCCTCTTTCTCTGGCTGCTCTCGAGCCCCTTTCTCCAACTCTGAGTCACTAGTGCTGTCATCCCAGTGACCCTGGCCTGCTTCCTTGGGGGACAGGATCCTCCTATCTGGGCTGCAGCTCAGGATGTTATCATTAAGAGGGGAGCTTGGGTCTTTGCTCAGGGGGACAGGAGCACGGGGGGGTACTGCAGGTGGTGTGGGGCTAGGCTCCACACTTAGCCCTGATTCAGGCTCCTGTCTGGGGGGCACAGGGGGTCCCACCAGGGCTGCATAGCTGAAGGTTGGGGTGTCAGATTGGAGGCTCTTGGGTGAGACAGGAGATGAAAGCTCCTTCTCTGTAGATGTGTTTCGGCCAGCAGCCTCCTCCTTGGTTGAGATGCGTGGGGGCCAATCCCCAGCTGCTCCAAGTGGAGGCTCCCTGGTGGGACATGCAGGACCAAGCCCAGTCAGCATCATCTGCTCATAGATGTCTGCATACTGAAAGCTTCTCTCATCAGGGTAGGGCGTAGGCTCTCTCTGCTCCAGCTCAGTCGGCTCAGGCTCCTTGGTGGCATAGCTCTCACCAGCCTCTGGGATTTTGGAGCTGCAATGGATGCTGTGAGGAGCCCCAGCCTCACCTTCTTTTTCTGTTTCCCCTTCAGCTTTGCGGTAATCCTTCCCCAAGGGGGAATATGGCCCACCTTCCAACTCAGCTGCCCCCTCCTGCACTGCAGCCACCACACTGTCATACTCGGCTATACCCCAGGAGTAGGGCGCGGGAGTGAGTGGCTCTGGGGCAGGACTTGGGGGAGCTGGAGCTGGGGAGAGAGGTGCAGGGGGCAAGGATGATTCCTTGGGCACCCACGGTGGGATGTCAGCCAGCCATGAGGGAGTGGTGGGTTCTTTCCTCATGGGTGGCATGGACTTAGACTCTGGGACTGGGCTCTCATGTCCTGGGGCTGGAGGAGCTCTATGTCCAGCCAACTCAGGTGGGGAAGCTGGAGGGGAGATGATCTCAAAGGGGGAGTGAGTCAGCTTGTCTTCTTCCTCTGGTGGCAGCCCAACTGGTGACTCAGCAAGCCAGCGCTCCACCTCCAGCCCCTTCTGTGATGAAGATGCCTGGAAACCCTTGAAGTCTGAGGCCCAGGGACTCCGGGGTGTATGCTCCAGGTGCGGTACTTCTTGCTCATTATCTGGCCCTTCATCAAGAAATGTGCTCTCCCGTTCCTCAGTGTACCGTGGGCGGGCCCCCTGGCCATCCAGCTCATGAGGGAACCAGACCTTCCTTTCACAGCTCAGCTCCCTCCAGTATGTGTCCTGTTCCTGACATGCATCCTCTCTGCCCTTCCAGTACCTATCCTCCTGCTCAGGAGATGTGTCCTCCCAAGACTGGGCAGTCTCTTTCTGTTCTCCAACTGGCTCTCTCCTAGTTAGAGCTGTTTCTTGCCTTTCCTGGACCACATCCTGCTCCTTTCTCCAGTATTTATCTTCCTGCCCTTGGGCCTTGTCCTTTTGCTCCTGTTGAGCTTCTGCATTCTGTTCCACGGTCCCCTTTTCTGAGGGTTTTTCCTTTAGGGTCGTCTCCTTTGGTTCAATGGTTTTCACCTCCTGCACTGAGCTCACCTGTTCCCGAGTTTTGTCCTTTTCTTCCTTATCTTTCTGTTCTACCAGCTTACTGCTTTGTTCTAGGGCTTCATCCCTCTGTTCTAAGGCCCAGTATTTTTGTTCTAAGACATGGTCCTGTTCCTCCTGTTCCTTGTCTGTCTGATCAAAGGCCTTGCCCTTTAGTTCAGGGACCTTGTCTTCTGGAACCTTATCTTTTTGTTCTAAGGCTTTGTCTTTCTCTTCTAGGATTTTACCCTGCTGTTCCAGGGCCTTGTATTTTTGTTCTAAGTCTGTGCCTTTTGGTTCCAGAGTCTTGCCTTTCTCTCCTAGGGCTGTGTCTTTTTGTTCTATGTCTCTGTCTTTTTGTTTTAAGTCTGTGTCTTTTAGTTCCAAGGCCTCGCCCTTCTGATCCAGATACTTGTTTGTTTGTTCGAGGTCTTTGTCTCTTTGGTCTAATGTCTTATCCTGCTGTTCCACAGCCTTGTTCTTTTCTTCCAATGCCTCAGCTTTCTGATTGGCAACTGTATCCTTCTGCTCTACAGTAAAATCTTTTTGCTCTAGAGTTTTGTCCTGTTGCTGTAGAATTCCCTCCTTTGGTTCAGGCACCTTGTCCTTCTGTTCTGGGGTTGTTTTGTCTTTCAACCCTGGAATAGTACCATCCCATTCCGTAGCAATGTCCTCCATGGCAGGACTTGGCAAAGACTCAGGACTCTTGGTGAGAGAGCTATCAGAGGTCAATATGTGTTCACCAGGGCTTGTGGTCACTCCAGATGAGTGTTTCCCATCTCTTGACAGTGTCGAGTGCGAGGAGGAGCTGGCAGGCAGTTTTTTGTTAGGGCTCTCATCTGTGATATCTGGCTGTGAAGAGTATCCAGTGATCCTCTCTGTCGGAGGTGACACTGTGGCTGCATGGGGCTCTGGAACAAACATAGAGGCTAGGCGGTGAGAGGGGTCCTCAGCCAGCATTAGATGCCCCTTTTCTTCCTTTCCAAGGCTTAATTCTCCAAACTGTAGGATGCCAAGTCTTTCCGGAGAGAGCTGCTTAGAAGAGCTATCTAGTGAGGTTTCCTTGCTGGGACTCTCCTCGGAGAGAGAAAGTGACTGGGTGTCTTCTGGAGACATCTCTGACCAAAGGTTTTTGTGTAGGTGCTGCTCTGTCAGGCCACAGGGAGACCTAGGGGTGGGCTCTTGGTTGACACTGTCTGGGGAGACCATACTGAGTACAGAGAGGGATTCTGCCTCTTGAGGGGAGAGGCCTTGATCAGAAAATTGGAGCACCTCATCTTTCTGAGATTCTCCACGTTCTTGGAGTGATGCCCTCATGTCTCTGGAAAGGGCTTCTACTCCCAGAATTGGTCCTATGGACTCTCCTGCCTCCACAGTCTCAAAGACTATTGCTTTGTCTTGATCTGGCAACAGTTGGATGGTGCAACCTGTGTGTCCCCCAACAATGCTGATGGATGCTTCCTGAGCTTGGGGGCTCCTAGGAGAAGACACCTCCTCCTCCTTCTTGAATGTGTCCTCTTCAGGCCTGGACCTGACTATCTCCTCTGTAGTATCTTCTTTGCCCACACCTGGTGTGCGCCTATCATCTCCCCAAGAGCCTGTTTCCTGAAAGTCTTGGGGCTCAGACTTTTCTTCCACTGGGGACTGATGAAAGGGTGTGTGAGTGGCACTGGGTGGGCCAGATGGTGGTGGAGAGGCCATCTTAACTGTGCTGTCATCTGGGCTGAAGCAGCGCTCCTCTGCATCTCCAGGGGCTGGTTCCCCTGAATGCAGGGCATGCCCAGGGGCACCAAACATTGGGGTTCCATATTGACTGTGAAGTTTCTCAGATAACTCTCCGTTTGTAGTCTCCTCTCTCTCTTTCCCAACTTTCTCTCCAGGTAAGTTCCTCCCTATGATTTCTCCTCTCCTTTCAGACTCCCCAGTCACAGAGAAGTCCTCACAGGGTGGTGATTTGAAGCCCTTGTCTTCTTCCAGGGAGGAGGTGGGTGAGATGGTACCAGCTGATGGCACATAATCCAATCCCTGAGTGGCTTCAGTACGGGAGGAAGGGATACTTGTGACTGTGTCAAGCAGTAGGGAGCTCTTGCCTGTCTCCTCTGTCTGGGGAGCTGTGAGTGAAGCTGCAGACTGGTCTTCAGCCACTGATGTGGCAAAGGAAGAAAGCTTGTCACACTCTGTGATTGAAGTGGCTGAGGACACGTGCTCCTCTTCAGCCAAAGGGGCGGCTACCATGTTGGGGGGGTAGGTGAGTTCAGTTTCTGGTGCTCCATAGCCTTTGCTGGAGGTGGCAGGAACAGCACTGTCTATAGGCTGGCTGGTCTCAAATGGACCAGGACCTTCAGACCCTGGGAGGTCATATGTACTTGTAGGAAATCTAGGTGGAGCTGGGCGCTCCTCTGGCTCATCATGGATCTCCTCATCTGAGATGGTCTGCTCAGTCTCTGAGTATCCAGGGATTGTCTCATCCTGGATATAGGAGACATGCTCAGTGGCTCCTGCAGGTGTAGCCAGGCTGCTTAGGAACGATGAGGTCTCCTTCTCAGGGACCTTACCTTGGAATCCCAGTTCGCGGCCTCCAAGAACTTCTCTGCCCTTTGGGGTGAACTTCAAGGCTTCCTGCATATGCTTTTGGTAAAAACTCTCAGCCTTTGTCTCTTCCTCTTCCTCCTCATCTGAAGGGTGTACCTCTTCCATTTCTTCTAATTCAGCCTTCTCGATCACATCCTCTTTTACCTCAGGTTCACTTTCCTCTCGGGCTTCTATTCTATCTGGGAGCTGCTCTGCTTCCTTCTGCTTCTTTTCCTCCCAGGTATCTTTCTCTTCTGGTTCAGCCCCGGAGTCTAAACCTCTGCCCTTGCTCCCTTGTTCTCCAGAGATGTTTGGTGCAACCTCTTTGTTCACCACAAGCTGTTCTTGTTCCAGGCTTGGTATTTTTTGGGTAGCTATGCTTGGGGAGCCCTCATCTAAAGTATCTGGAGGAAGTGCTTTTTCTCCTACTCCTATGTCCCTTTGTTCAGTCAGCAACCCCCTCTCCTCCTGCTTCATTTCCTCAAAGTCTTGTGTAAGGTCCTCTGGTGAGGACAAGGCCAGCTCCCTTTGCGCAGTGACTGGTGGGAGTGGGACCTTCTGGGTTGTGGGTGTCCGTGGCTCAGAGGGCATCTCCTTCTCCCCACGGACAGTTCGGTTCTTGTCCATCTTGACTCTTCCAGGGGCCTTGGCTTTATACAAGGTCTTACGTACCTCAGGGGTAAAGGGCTTCAGGTCTGGTTTGGAAATCTTCTTGACCTCAGGTTTGTTTTCTTTCCTCTTCTCCTCCTTCTTAGCATCCTTCTTCTCCTCTTTTCTTCCTTCATCCTTCTTGAGCTCCTTCCTCTCTTTTTTTATCTCTTTTTTCTCCTTGTCTTTTTTCTCTTCTAGCTTAGATATCTTTTCTTTCAGATGCTTCTTTCCCACCTTGTCCTTGATCAACTTTCGCTTCTCTGCTTTCAGTGCCTCACTTGACTCTGTCCTCACCCTCTCAGGTTTGACAGGTTTCTCTGGGGGCTTTTCAGATACCTCTTTTGCCTTCTTCTCAGTTTTGGCTAACTCCTTGGCCAGCTCTGAGCGAGCCTCCTTGGCTCCCTCTTCAGCCACCTCCTCCCGTTTTGCCAGCTTGCTCACAGCTATCTTAGTAGTGGCTTTGAGGCTCTCTTTGCTGTCAGCCCGTTGTTTAATTTTGCTGGGTTTAAGGCTGGTAGGTACAGCCCCAGCAGCCAAGTCCTTCTGTGTGGCTACAGGGTAGCGCAGGAAGTCCAGGTGTCGAAGCTTTTCTAGACCCTCTAAGATCTTGTTTTGAGGAGCATTCCCTGGAAAAAGGACACGAACAATCTTTTCCGTGGGGTTGGCTGGTAGCCAGACTACCAGAGCAGTGATAGAAGTCAGGTAGGGCACTGAGATCTCAGCCTCCTTTCCATTGGCCAGCACAATGCCTGTCTTGGCTTTACTATTGCCTGCCCACTTTTGCATGAGGAACTGCATCTCCTTGCTGTCCTTCACAGGGTTGAGGACATACATATCCAGCCGGCCCACACCCATTTTATGGAAGAGGGTTAGTGGCTCAATAGTGTTGCTGACTACACGGTAAAGAGGCTCGGCCTGAATGCCCAGGCGAGTTAAGTGCTGCAGAGTGAGGCAAGCCTCTTCAATGCTACGCTTGGCCTTCCGGGAGGCATCAGGCAGCCGTAATTTATCGGGCACATTAAAGAAAACAACTCCAAGTTCGGGGGAGATGAGGTTCTTCACCCAGTCGCTGTAGCTGCTAGAGCCCTGGGATTGTTCCTCTTCTAGCTCTGCCACTTTGCGCTGCAGAAGTCCATTGATGCCTGGCAGGTTGTCTGCTCCGATGTGTGTGAGCAACACTGAGTCAATACGGTCCAGGTGCCGTACCAGCTTCCAGAAACAGGACTTGCGATCAGAGCCACCATCTACCAGGATGTTGAAACCATTGACAGCAAAGAGGGCAGAGTCCCCACGACCACCAGGGAAGATGTAGCAGCAAGGCTTGGAGAGCTTGAGGAAACCCCCTGAGGTGGGGGGCTCTAGCAGGTCAAAGGGGGATGGCACATCTACAGTCTCAGAGACGTACTCGGAGAACTCGGCCACACCATCCATGGTGGGCAGCGTGGGCTCAGGGTTTAGCCGTAGGTGCAGGGTCTCTTGGGAACTGGATAGTGCCAGGTGGCTCCAATCACCCTCCCCTAAGCAGGACACGGTGAGGAAGGCCTGGATCCCAGGGTCTCTATTGCTGAGCAATTGGGCAATCTAGAGGAATGGGAGATAGAAGCCTGATCAGGTCATTGGGGTTGTCTTTATCTGACTCAGATTCCATCTTCTAATCTTTCCCTCTTTGTGAGGTGAACCTTCCTGCTAGGGCCCCCACAGCCATGCAATATAAGATTTTCCCTTCCTTGGTTCCTTTCCCACAGCTCTTGTTGTTATTTGTTAAGTGCCATCGAGTATAGCGTTTCCAAGGAGCGGCTGGTGAGTTTGAACCCCTGACCTTGTGGTTCAAACTGACCTTGCGATCCAGTGCTTTATCCCACAGCGCCACACCAGGACTCCTTCCACAGCTCAAGTCCTACCCATATCCCCTTTCTCCCAGACATGCAGGCATTGTCTTACCTCTGGGTTGTGAAGGACCTGGGCAAAGTTTTGGTAGGAGTAGGTGCCGCTCTGTAGGATGAGATCTCCCCCAGGCTCTAAACTTTGCCCACTCAAGATTAGTAGTTTGTGAGTGGATGGGCTGCTAAGGAGATGGTGAACCTAGGACATAAGGAAGGGAACGATCACAGATGTGGGGAAATCCAGGAAAGGAAAGTGAACATTCCTAGACCCCCTGAGTACTGTAAAGACATGTTCCTCACTGCCACTGCCCCCTCGCCCCGCTCCCCCGCCCCGCCACAATACCTCCTCCAGAGTAAGACTGTAGGATTATAAAATAGCTTAAATGGCAGAGAGAACACAGTTCAAACCCAAGTCCAGAAATTCTTCCCTTTACAGCCCTTTCAGCAGATGCTTTAAGCAGAGCGTATGCCCCAGCCTTACCTCAGAGCTGATGCTGTCTGCACTGGGGTTCACCAGGATGATGGTTTCAAGAATCTCACTCTGGTGACAGAGGGTCCTTTGGCCTGTGGGAGAAAGGCAGGAATTTGTATAGAAGAAAATGAGTATATAGAGTAAAGTGGAGAGGCATTGTGTGGGGCAAGAGAGGAAAGAATGCACTAGCAGAAAATGGGGCCTGGAGAGGAGAAGGCTGGCTGTCCTCAGAACCTGCCACCTAGGATACTGCTGAATAAGATCCAGGAAATGGCTCCTTTATCCTTTCCCTTGCAGGATTCTCTCCTCTCCTCTCCCACACTAAGTGTCTTTCCCCTCCTTTCCTCTGCCACACCCTCTGCCTGGCCCAGTGTCCACCCTCCCCCCTTGACTGGAACTCCAGCTTCAGACTGCCCTGTTGACAAGAAGCCTTTGTCCCTCTCGAGCACTAAGCTCCTGGTGCTGCCTGGGGATGCAGGCTCAGCTGGAGGAAGGGCTCCTGAGACTATGATCCTCACTCAACTCTAGTCTCACTAGCTCGCTTCTGCCCTGGCCTTCTGTGCCAGCAGAAAATCTAGAAATAAGGAGATGGAAGCTTCTGTGTCTATAAATGTTATTGTTGTTATGTGCCGTGGAGTTGGTTCCGACCCATAGCGACCCTGTACAGGGTTTCCAAAGCTGTAAATCTTTACAGGAGCAGAAAGCCTCATCTTTCTCCCATGGAGCAGCTGGTAGTTTCGAACTGCTGACCTTGTGGTTCGCAGCCCGATTTGTAACCACTACCAGAGCTCCTTGTGTCTATAGATACCGCCCCCATTTTACTTTTTCCCTCCCCTCCCGCCCCCCCCCCCCCCCCCCCCCCCCCCCCCCCCCCAGCAAATTCTCATTCCTGAAGGCGCAGAGAAATCTATGCTGTCTAAACCCTTGAGATTTTACAATTCAAAGAGTGGGAAAAGAACTATAACTTCCTATTTTGTTCTCCGGCTTATGGTTTAGTGGGTTAAGCTGCTAAACACAAGGTAAGCAATTCGAACACACCCGCCACTCCACTAAAGAGGAGGCTGTCAGCTTCTGGGAGCGTTATGGAGCAGTTCCACTCTGTCCAAGTCTACACTCACATACATGCACTCCATTATATTGTTTCCACCCCAACCCCCCTTTTCCACTTCATCTTCACATCCTCTAGGCTCTATAGAGGCCTGGTTTGCTAGCCCACAGCCCATCCTTGTAAACAGTTTCTCTTCTCATTCTTGCTCCTCTCCTTTCATAGTCTTACCATGGAGATGGGGAGCTAGGGGTGTACAAACAAGAGGCCCATAAATAAAGAAGAGATCCAGAGAGTTTCTCAGGCCATGGGAAAATATAAGATATCCCCAAATCCTCTCTTTCCCTTTTCCAGACTCACCGGAAATACCAAGCAATACAGCAAAGAAAGAAGGTAGCAGATCAGACAGAAGATACTGAATAAGGATGCCGCCATCCTCTGCTTCTGCCCTTCTTCTTCCTACCCCACCCCACTCCCAAATTGCAGCACACTGGGGAGTAACCTTCCAAATGGATGAAAACAGATGGCCTTGAGTGTAGGATATCTGTAGGATATTGGTATATAATCTGTGCCCTAGACCCTCTTCTGTGACTCAAGTGTCTCCTGCTCTTCCTGAGCCTCTGACAAGAGTCGCCTGGGGCCTAGGCTTTTGTTAAGAAGAGCTAGTGGTGCCAGGATCAGACAGATAAGACACCACAAGGCTGCAGATGTAGTTGCAGGGGAATGAACCATGGATGACATCAGAAGACCAAACTCTTGGGTGGTTAGGACCCAAGAGGAGTTCAAGTGTTCTCTTCCACTGGGAATTGACGGAAGCTTTGAGTCAGTTCAGAGGATGAGAGCCACCTCACAGGCAAGAGGGGCAGAACTTGGGTAGGTGAGGGATATATAGGGTTCAGAGAGTGGCCAGCTCAGATTCTAATTTAGAAGGGCAAATTTAGAAGAGCTCCTCCTCACACAAGGTCACACATTTGAGTTAGTAGGGTCAGAAAGAGAAATACATGTGGTATAGACCCATTTGCTTTCTAGCTACTGTTTCCTACAAGTCTGTCATCCCCCCTTTGCCCTCGTTTATAACCACAAGATTCTTTGGATTCTATTTCCTGTCCTGGTACAAGACCCCCACTCCTAATCCCCAGGCTTTCCAGTTCTGAGTTACAGCTACATGGTTTATACTCCACCCCTTCCAGCCCAGAAAACCTTACTACTTCTCTCTTCTCCTCCTCTCCAAGTTCTCCCACTGAAGGGAACTGCCTTGTTTTTCCTTTTTCTTTGAAGAGGACTATTTTGTGAGGCAGGGGCACTATCCTTGGCCAGGGGTGAGGTGGGTGTGGGCTGGGGGTGGGCTGTGGGTACCAGGGCTGAGCAGGGAGGAGGGCAGGTGTCTCCGCAGTGAGGCAGAAGGGGGGGGGGGGGCTTAGGCAGCTGCAGTCTGCCGCAGTGTGTGTGTGTGTGTGTGTGTGTGTGTGTGTGTGAGTGTGTGTGTCCCCGCGTGTGAGTGCGCGTGCTCCAGTGTGCTCGCCTGTGTGTGTTGAGCTGGGTTCTGACTCCGCCCCCACCCCCCACCCCAGCATGACAAGTCATTTTCTTGGCTGCCTCTGCTTGGGGAGTGGGGGTAGGGGGACGCAAAGAGGAAGAAGAAACGGGCTCCTCTATTTAAGAGCCCTCATCTTGGAAGAGCGGCGAGGTGGGGGTGGGGCTGAGACTGAGAACCTGTGGGGTTGACAGGACTTGGGAATGTGGGGCAGCTGCTGAGGAGGGAGTGCTCTCAATCTCTGGAGTGGCCTCAGGGGGACCAGAAAGTGGGGGTGCTTAGAGTCCCAGCATCATTCTGGCTTTAGGGAATGAGGGGAAAGCTCACTGCAAACTGGTTGGTCTGTGAGGAGGCGCATGCCACGTCTTACTGACCCTTTCCTCTCTCTCCTATGGTATCCCCCACCTTCCCTTACTTGGCAAAAATTCACTGTCCTGCTTACCCCCAGCATAGGAGCAGCTGACCGATTCAGCAGCTGACGCCCAGGGACCCTCCCATTAGGCACATTCCCATTATTGCCGCCTGCCACCCCCATCCCTCAAATTCTCTGACCCTGCCAAAGACTAAGCCCAAAATTTCTCCAGTACCCCAGGCTGCCAGGCGGAGCCAATGTTACCATCGTCTGCTGCTGGCCTATGTCCAATGTCTTCCACGCTGAGCCCAGCCGGAGAGGTGGATGGACTGTCATGGCCCGGGCAGCTCCACAGCCAGGAATAGTCATCTTCTGTCTCTGTTCCTCAGTCTGCCCACCCCGCTGGGTTAGTTCCAGAAGCACCAGATCTGGTTCCTTCCAGTAAGCCCCATCCCACGCCCCTATCACAACGTCCTCCAGTTCCCATCAGAAGCCCACCGGTTGGTTCGGATCTTACCCTGGGGAGTGGGAGGGAGCCCCTCATGGAGGTGGTGGCTCTGGCCCCAGCTGGCAGCTTCAGGGAAGAGTCTGCGGCACTTGGGGTGGGAGTGGGGGGGGGGCACTTGATGGGGAGGGCGGCGCCAGGGCGGGGAAGAGGGGCTGGTCCCTGACGAGTCACTGGAGAATTAACTGTTTCTTTCCCTTCACCATGTCAGTGTTCAGGCGCTGCTTCTGCAGGGCTGAGGAGTTGTCTAGCAGTTGAAGGAGCCCAGGTGAGTTTCTTATGGCCCACAGGACAAAGATCCTTCTCCTTCAACCCTACTTAACCAAGAAATATTCTTTTACTATCAGCCAAAAGACCAAAACCCCTCACCAAGGCATGTTGTTAAGTGTCAACTCATAGAGACCCTGTATAAGCTTTGGAGGCTTGTAAATCTTTGCAGGAACAGAAAGCCTCATCTTTCTCTTGTGTAGCAGATGGTAGGCTTGAACTGCCAAGCTTGTAGTTAGCAGTCTAGTGCTTATCCTACAGAACCACAACATTCCCTCACTAAGGCATTAAAGGGGGGATTATAGGAGGCATGGGTTGCCTGAGTCATTCCCCTTTTCTCAGGAACCATCTGCTGCTTCTCTCCTCAGATGGACCCAAGGAGTAACCTTCAATCCCTGGAGGAGCAGGAGACAAAAAGGCTGTCCACACCCCCACCCCCACCCTGAAAAATATGGGTTGGGTGAGAAGGCTGATTGAGTGGAAAGCTAGAGCTGGGGATATGCTGATCTCTGTCATCTTACAAGTCACACCAGCAGAAATCAGTCCTATTTAGGCTTGGATGGAAATGTAAAATTCTGGAGTAGGCACATGGTCCCTAATCCAGTGGGGTGGAGAATGGGCCAGTGCAGCACAGCACAGTAACTGGGTATTGACACTCAGGATTTGGGGAACATTGAGTGTGAGACGACAGTCTCAGACCTTTGTGACTCCACAGGATGCTTTCTGCCTTTCAGTGAAGGGGTTAACAGGGACCAAGGAGGATCACCAGGACCCTAGACAAAGCAAGGTTTTCTAACTATAGAACAATTATTAAGTATAACATAAAGTACTCTTTGGGTTTAAAAATTTTAAAGTGATTTTATAGGATGGTTGGGTCCCGTTGTCTCCATATCTTTGCAACTTTCTGTCTCTCTGCAGTCTCTGTCATACACTATTTTTATCTTTCTAGTGTTGGCCCTATTTCTTTAGTCCCTAACTCTGTCTCAGATTTATGAAGTGCTCTAGGACTCAAAGGGTAGATCTGGAGAGTTCTAGGACTCAGTTCCAACTCAGTGATGCTCCTGCTTTCACATTGGTCCTTCTCTGCTCTCTTCCGTTCCTTCAACCCTCCTCAATCCTGCCCAGCTCCTAATGCCTTAGTCACATAGACATCCATCCCACTCATACCCCAGCACCAGCTCCACCCTTGCCCCTGGCTGCCAATAGCTGCATTGAAGGTCAGAGAAGCCAAAATAGTCTCTGCTCTCAGCATCTTCCACCCCCCTTAACTGCAGCCAGAGGAGAGGAGGAGCTGAGTCACTAGTATCCTTGTGGGGGAAAGGGGAGAAGGGAGGGATGGGAGGAAGCCTTGTTCAGATCTGGGGATGCAAAGCAGCAAGATGGCAACATCCCCATTTGGATAGGAAAGGCCATCTGCAGAGATACACAGCATGAACCAAAGTTCAGAGCACCACAAAAGAGAAACACTTCCCTTCTGCAAATTCTTAGTTCTTATTCCCTCAAGCATCCTAGCTCCTCTCTGCTTTCTAGGGCTCTCTGCAGTGCATTACGAGGGAAACTTGAGTAGATATTTGGTTTGAGGACAAAATAACATTTCTCAGCCCAATGCAGAGACCACCTTATTCTCAGTTGCCACCCCAAGAGCCACACCCTAGGCATGGTTCCAACTCACAGTGGAGTTTTCCTTCATCCCTCACCCTCTCAACAACCACTTACCACAACCAACCATCCACCTGCTGTGTTCCTAGGCTCCGCTGCACTGAAATGGTGAGATGCTAAAGAAGAAAGGCCTGAGCTCAGATACAAAGTGATTTCAGAGACCTGGCTCTACCATTTTATTATTAATTATGCTACTAAACAAACCACTTAACCTCTCTGAGACCTTGTTTCCTGCACTACAAACCAGAAAACAAACTCATTGCCATCAAGCTGATTCCAACTCATAACAACCCTATCTAGGGTTTCTGAGATTGCAAATCTTTACAGAAGCAGATAGTCTCATCTTTTTCCTGTGGAGCCACTGGTGGGTTTGAACCACCAACCTTATAGTTAGCAGTCCAGTGCTTATACTACAGTGCCACCAGGTACTTCTCTCCTGTGCTATAAAATGAATACAGTGAGTATTTATTAGTACCATCCTCCAATAATACTGTGAGAATTGTATAAATAAAAGGTGAAAAATACTTAATTCCTAGAATCCTAAATCTGTAATACACAAATGCCACTGGGAGCCTGTCTCTCTTTTGTGAAAGATTTCTGAGAGGCCATCCAAGCAGATCTAGGTGACCAAGACAATCTTAGATGAAACCAGCTCTAGAACACCCTTAGCCCCCAAGTGAACTCAGAACTGGAGAGGCCTGCAGCATAGGAAGCGACATACTGGACACATCCCTGCTTTCCCATTTCAGGCAGTAACGCAAGCCCTGAGTCCAGGGACTAATGAGGCTGCTCTATTAATTCATGATGACTTTCATGTTTGTTGAAGTAACATGATTTTCTGAGTACATCAGTGGTAATGGAGTATCCATGGAAGATCTCCAAACTAGATCCTCAGATTGTGTTCTTTAAAGTCTCTGAACACCAATTATGAATCATAAAGCCCCTCCTTTTCCTATAGGCTCTCAAGTATCAAAGTATTGTTGAAACTCAGTTTTCCACTATCCTAATTGTTTCTGGGTTTCTGTTATAGTGCTCAGAAACTCCAGATATTTTTGTAGGAAGGAAAGGTCCCAAGTCACCCCTGGTAACTACCTGGTACAGAAGTCATCTTTGAAAGTCTTTACCAGTTTTTACCATAGGAGCTGGACCCTCTTTGTTGGCACATCAATTCATCTCCAAAGAAGAGGGTCCCTTTTTTCCTAAGTGTGGGCATGTGGATGGGGCAGGATGGGTAGGAAATTCTGTACTCTCTTCCTCATTGTAAGATATATTTTTGTTATCTTTCTCAGAATTTTGGCCCAGGAATTGAGGACCCAGGTGATAAGAATTGTGGCCCAGTCTGTGGAGTAGGCAGAAAGGATCAAATCAAGCATATTCCCTTGAACCCATCCTAGTTGCTTGGTTTCCTTTGCCTACCCACTAACAGGAGGCAGAAGGGAGGGCAGTGTCTGCAGTTGCTCTGGGCTGACTTTTGTTTGTGGGGACAGCTGAAAGAGTAGCAAGCAAGGGTGGGGCTGAGGCTGACTTGAGCCATATGTTTTTTCCCAGGAAATTCTCCACTATTATCCAGGGAAACAGACCACCATAGAAATGTCTAAAACCTAAAAAGTTTCAGTATGCTAAAGTAAGCCCTGATCTTAGAAGTATGGCCCTAAGCAACAAAGGACACCATGACTGAAACCTTTTGACTGAATAGGCCCAGTGTGTGTTTCTATGTTTATGCTGTGTCGCAGAAGTGCCCTAGAGTAACTATGTATTTCCCTGTCAGCATCATGCTAAACACCTCTGCATTTTAATCTGAGTTTGGTTAAGTACTTTGTTTCAATTTCTGTTCGTGTCTTAAGTATTTCCAAAAAGCAGCCTACTCCTAAGTTTCTGTGGTCAAAAGGACAAGGTTTGAGAATTCAGTGTGAATTGTTAACATCAGCAGACAACTCCCAAACATTAATTTTACCCTCTGTCATCCCCATATTCACCCTTGCACCAAAGCTCCTAGCAGAACTAAGTGATAAAACTGTCAATTTCCAATCATCAGTGTTAATGAAGAAAACCATGACATGAGTAATTTTGAACAGAAGGCAATCTCAAAACAGTGCATGACTAGCTTCATATTTTTTTTTAAATTGCTGCACATATTCCTAGGATAATGGAGCATTTATCAGATTAGCCTTGTTTCCTCCTCTCTAGAAGCATCTCTAGAGAAGTTAGAGATCAAAGAAATAACCAAAGATCTGGAAGTTAGGAGGAGGAGCAGAAAGAGAAAACGAGGTGACATCTACCATAATGGATAATTTAGAATTATCTGCATAAGATATGAACTCAATCTTTTGGTAGCAGTGACTATTGAACTAGATGGATTTTATATTCCATAAGAGGCACTGGACATGGATTGATGTGCCAACATTTACCAATAACATGACCAGATGGCCAGTGCTTTAAATGGAACATAGGACTTTCTGCAGTCTCCTCAAACATTCTATCACATACTGTCATAGAATAATAGTTCCTAAAACTGTATTTTTATAGAATGATAGTTCCTAAAATCTTATTTTCCAAAACCTCTAACCAAATTTTTCCAACTCAGCAGAATGGGAAACTACATTATCTGAACTTTGACCTCAGAGCCAAACATCAGGGAGCAACGAGCTCTTGTCCATTTAGGAGGTCTTGCTTTCTATCTTGAATTTGATGATGCTCATCAGCTTTTGGTACCAGGACACTACTGTTCTGCTCTGGAGATCAGTTGGCTAAACCAAAGGAGAAACCAAGAATTCCTGAGGTGTGGTGGGTAGGCTGTATAACCTGAGGAAAAACACTAAGTAAGGGTCTGGGAAGATGAGTGGGAAGTTCTAAAGTCTCTGAAAATGGAAGGAGTAGGCTGGGAGATGCAGAAAGGGGAACACAAAAGAAGAGAGTAGATTTTTGCCTGGGAGATGATAGATTACTCAAAGAAGTACCTCATTCCCTTTGTGCACATCAGTAGCTGTCCACAAACCACCATCTTCTAGGGTTAAAATTATGCTCTCCAAACTCCCTCAGCCATCATGCTGTCTGCAAAGTGTACTGATTTTTCTGGGATTACTGTGCAGCTCTGCAACTGTCCCAAAGAAATCTCTCCCTTCTTTCTCACTCAAACCTCCCATAAGTCCAGTTTGACTAGGGAGATGACCTCTGCTCTTCTGTGACCAAAGGATTTAGACAAATGAGTCCTAACCTTTGACCTCTGAAGAGAAGTGAGCTAGATGCCGGGTAATGAAGAGTCTCAACTGTTGATTCAGGTCAAAAGATGATAAGTCAATGTTCCAGGACAGAATCCCTGTAAGAGAAAGAGAAACAAAGAAGGCTCTAGATAAGGTCAGTGAACACTTTTAAGCTCACAAAAGAAGGGAGGGGAAGGAAAGGATAAGGATAGTTGGCAGCCATGATCAGCTTTACAGATGTCTCTCAAAATCTAAGGGCACAATGGGTGGCTAGTGCCTATGTCTGCCTTCCTCCCAAATAGTTCATATATTGGATTTTTCTTGCAGAGTTGACCCTTGTGGTTACATCCAAGTACGAGCT